TATGCCTTGGGTTCCATACCACCAGAAAGCTGTATGCCTTGGGTTCCCTGCCTGGGGATGAGCGCTGGCACAGGTGTGCTGCGGCTGCTGCAGGAGGGCCACAGCAGGAGACAGAAACCTCCCGCCTCAGGCAGCAGAGCGGGGACAGCAGTCTGCAGTGACAGACACGAGACTTCTTACTACACAGACCTGTAATTAAAGCACCTCATGGGAATAAAGATCAGAGTGGAGAAAAAAGAAAGGCAGCCTTTCATGCTGACCACGTCTGCCGGCTCACGGCGCCTTGGAGGCCCGAGCGTGCCCTGCAGCCCATGGGCCCGGCCTGCGCCCTCCCAGCCAGGGCTGCGAGGCACCGAGCTGCTGCCCTGAGCAGAGGCAGCAAGTGAGGCCCCACTGCTCATCCTCTGCACTCCCACAACGTGCTTGGTGTTTATTAAAGCTACGAGCTATGTGCTTGGGGTGCCTAATTACTTTTGACCTCTCCCGCGTCTCCTTATATTTTCAGCTAGATACAAAGCCATTTACTTCCTACCCTGATATGTTCAGTAGTGACTCTGAACAGCAAATTGGAAGGCTGTTTTAAGGCACTTTAAAAATTATATTTTCTGTGCCAAAAAGGCAAGCTTTAAGGGAAAAAAAGAATACTCACAAGTGGATGCAGACAAGCAGAACAGCTCTTGAGATCTCTGGAAATCAAAACAAAGATTAAAAAAAACAGTGGATCTTGGAACTGGAGAGCACTACTATAAAATAGGATCAAAACTATTTTGGAAAAGATCATAGTTGAATGTTAAAATTGATCCAGTCTCCCATGTAAACACAGTCATGTTTTACAAAGAATTATCTCAGATGTCCCTTATGAGAGGTTCAGTACCAGAAGACTTCACTTTTCATTGCTCCTGGCTCTAATAAAATTATAAAAACACTTCAGCAAAGGGAACAGATATTTTGTGATTCCACTCTTGTGAGCCTGGAGGAACTATTCACAGAAATGCCAAGTTGCAGTTCTAAAAATAATCTGATAGCAGATACAAATCAGTGAAACTGATCTCTGGCAGCTGATGTCCAACTGGAGAAGCCATTTCATTGCCATTTTAGAGTAATATCGTAAACAAGAAACACTGATGATTGATTTTTAGCTGCAGCAAAACAAGTAAAAGACTAGAAGTTCCCACCTCACAACACACAACTTTTTCAAAAAGGCACAATCCGTGATGTGGCAGCCATGTGCTCTGTAGCCCCCATTAGGGGTAAGTCAGATCTGCCGGGCCAAATCACAATTTTTACTACTTGGAAGAGGACATTTTTTCTTATGCTTGGAGCAGCTGCATACTCTGCAGTGTTACACTCCATTTTGCACAAAGTTTGTTCACAGTTTGCTTCTGATGGAAAAACCAAATGCCATAGAACAGGAGTTTGTTGGTTTTTCTTCCTTCCTACTTTGCTGTAAACCATGGCTGGTGAGAATTTAGTAAGGTCCATTCCATTTCCAATAAGCTCATTCCTGCTTATGTCAGTGTGGAATACAGTACGTTATTTTCCTTTCTAAAACCAAACAGATGGCAAATTGCACTAAGTAGATTTAGAATAAATGTATCTTGATAAAGTTCAGGATCAAGTCCCTCGAGATTCAAAAAATTCCATGGGCAGGAAGATATCTGCACCAAAGGGGTGAGAAGTCACTTAAAACAAATGATTTTTTAAATTTATTTTTATCTTTCTTGTTTCCACTCCAGTATGTTTGTGGTAACATCTCTTATTTTGAGGAGTCAAAACAGTAGAAGACCAGCACGTGTTCAACGAACCACACGGAGCAGAACCAATATTCTGGACGCTGCTGCAGTTTGTGCTGCATTAAGAACAAACCCAAATTCACATTAGCTCTAGGAGTCCCGCACTTCATATAGAGCTGTGTCTTCAAAAGGTATGAGAGCAAGAATCTGACAAGAAACAGCTACAGAAAAACCACGACTCTTGATACAAAAACAGAGGTGTTAACCTCAGTTTCTCGTAATTACAGACATTTGGCTCTATGTTTTCCCTCACTTCCCTCTATATCAGTGTTTGCACAGTGCAGAAAATGACCTCCATTAGGCTACAAAATGATTTTACATCTGCATTAAACCACTTAAATATATTTGCTTTTATGAAGCCATATATAGAATCCCTGTGAGGTATAGTGAAGATGCATATAAACACTGTGAATTACCGAGAGGCAAGCTCAACATATAAAACTAAATGTAATTGGCAGTCAGTAGTCAAATGTCATATGTCACCTCCCCTGCACACAGCATGCAGCACATGATTCTTCAGACAATGTCTGAGTCAAGGTGCTATCAGCCCTACAGTCAGGAGAGTAGACAGTGAACTGGATCCTGGAGGAACACAATAAGGATAAAGAATACTGCAAAATTTATTGCGGGTTCTGAATTATGGAAAAAAAAATACTACAAATTACAGTGGCAGTGTAGTAAGTCCTTTATGACCTATGGTTAAGGCAGTTTTTTCTAATACTTTGCTTCTTCCAGGATGTTAAGAATTCACAGACTGGTTGAGGCTGTCCAGATTTCCACCTAATACAGATTGCTAGGTGGTTTCTGAGCATTTCCCAGGATAGAGATTTCACAACCACATATTACACCTTCTGATGTGTCTAGGAAGGTAATGAAAGCTTGGGCCTATACCCCTTTTTATCAGTCTGCTGCAGAATTGCCATACGTTTGATACTACCAACTCTTTGGTTCACTATACATGGCAAAGTATATTTTTATATCATTGCAAATCCTGAGTCTAGGCTGCTTCATGATCTAGATGTAGCAGCAGATGTAAGGCAGGAGATTTCTGTTCATTCACCTTTAAACTGAGGACCAACAGAAGAGGCAAATACTGCTGCACTGAACCACCTGTACAGACACAACAGATCACTCACGTATGGACTCAAAGAAGAGAGAACTACAGCCTGCCACCTCCCTCAGTAAGTGCCCAATGTGCACACAGCTCCTGCGCTGTGTAAAAACCTTCTGCCATGGCTTTGCTGCCAACAAAGGAAAAACAACGAAGAACAGGTCCAGCATGATTCCTTATGACACACTGTGCAGTTATCCTGCAGAATTTTATAGGCTGACTAAATCTTCAGGAACTACAGCAGCTTTGCATTCTACTCATTCACAAAAAACTGCTAGTCACCATTGTCAGAAACTGTTTTGAGCAGTGCCTAAATCCAAACACACTCAAAACTGGCTAAGGGAAGCATAAGAACAGATGGATAGCTCAAGGATGTCTCGCTGTGTATTTTCCTGCAGCTCAATGGTTAGATCATAATTAGGATTTCTCAAAGACATAAACAATCTTTGCTTGCAGGCAATTAATCCTCAAGATGGCGAGAAGAACATCCTGGCTATGGGGAAAAGAATGCAACGAAATGAAAAATGGCCCTGAAAAAATACAGTAAGGAAATCCAATCTCTTTGCCCATCTAAGATAACAACTGGAGCAAGGAACCAACACAGGCAACACCAAGAGGAAATGGCTTTACCCCTTACTCATAGCAGTTAAACAATGATGAGTGATGATTACTAAAACATTTGCACTCACATTAACTCTGCCAATCCAGAGCAACACATGTGGCTCTCAGCATTCCTGCGTGGCCAATGCATCTGCATGCTGCAGGAACGGGAGGAGACAGCAGATCTCCAGGAAAGGGCAGGCAGGTGAGCCACTAACCTCAGCAGAGCAACATTTCATAATACGTCTGTGCTGCCTTCTGCTCTTTTTAAAACCTACTTGCTGTCAAAGACCTCCCATTCTTGACCTTGAATTCACAAAATTTTTGCATTCAAAAGTAAATTTCTGAATGCAAAAGGAGTAAAGCCTGGTGGTCCAATTCAGTAATGGTTTCCCAAAGCTACAGGTTCGTCAATAAGAAAATGAGCAGTGCTAGCTGAATAAACAGGATGACAATGACAGCGTTATGGGCAAAGCAGGTCAACAGGAATGAATAACACAGTCTGAACAGAAAAATAGGAAGGAACTGAACTACATGCAGGGACTTGCAGGAACCTGATTTTTGAGGTGAAAGAGGACGACACAATAAAAATATGGCCAGAATAACATTAATGGATGTTTATTTTAGCAGCTGCAGACTTTTAATCAAGTGCAGACTGCCAATCAGGACAGAAGTTACAATAATAAGGATAGGAAATGAGGTAAAGCTGAACAAAAAGTGTAGATACTGGGAGGAGAGGATAGATTTAGAAACAAGTTTACACAAGCTTGTATCTGAAAATAACTATGTAAAATGATTTTCTCCCTTCCTTTTATAAACACATTCTGGTTTCCCCAGAATGTTCAAATCACATCTCATTAACTTACAGACAAAACTACTGTTAGTACTTCCCAAAGAGTACTGTTTATTTTTCTCATGCTTGAAGCTGCTATCTGAAAAAATACAGATTATTACTGCATCTGACATATACACTAATAAAGAAAAGAGTCGACCATTCAGACGTCTGGAGTGTGGGAGGACAACCATCTCTCCATGACCACTCTGCACAAAACTGCCGTACTGAGAGCAGGACCCACCTCTTCTCAAGGGGTTTTCCTCTGCTAAAAGCTCACATGCAAGTCACCACCACATACTTATTCTAATGAGCCAGTGTATTTGAGCACAACTGTCACTTCTTTTTACTTTTCAGCTGTATTTTCTGAAGACACAACGCAGACTGCGACTGTAACCAATATTTCAAAGTTGATTGAAACAACATTTTACAGTAAAAGATAAATATTTCACAACACGGGATTCATGTTTCTTGTGAACACATTTCTCTGTCATTCCTACGTATAATCTCTTGACATACTATTCCCTTATTTAAGCCTTTCTAATGTAACATACACACAGCTAATATTACACTTGCTAGAGAGCTATGCAAAAGAGTTGGCCCCAGAGATTCTTTTCCTGTGCAAACACAGCCTGCTGTTCAGCCCTAAGTGCTGCAAAGGTACTCCTACACTTAACCCATAATGTCGCTCAAAGCAGCAAACTTAACACACAAGAAGCAGCAGTGTAGGAAGGGCAGTCTGCAGCGCAGGGAATGGACCCGCATGTGGCACGTGCCTTCTGGCATCTGAAAGGAAAGTGCATGCAGTGTGACTACAGGGAGGTGGCTGCACTGAAGGGAGGAGAGGGCAGGTACCAACAGAACAAGGCAGCCGAGTCCTGGTCCATACCAAACACCGCACTCAGTGAACACGGAAGTCAGCACACTCCTTTCAGTATTTCCATGATTCCTGATTTGGAACTTCACCTAGAGACACATCGCACTCATGGTAGCACACACATTGCTGTTAGCATCTCCATTACCCAATGTCAAAAGCTTCTCCTAACTACAGTGACAGCAAACTGCCCAGATCTGATGCAGAAGGCAAGAATGCGGTACCCTATTCTAATCATTTTTCCCTCCAGCTCTCAAGGGGTGATGCATTAGCCTGATGTTACAGATGCCAAGATGCAAAGTACACAGATCTATCAAAATGAAACATGGAATAACAAACACTCTTTCTTACTGTCCTCTGTCTTCACTGTTGTCTGAAGCACTTCATCTCCACATTTCCAACATAGCTGTGCTCAAGAGCCACCTGTGCATCACTTGCATTATGGACAACGATGAATGCAGTAAGTACACATCCCA